ATTATGCCGTCGAATAAAAAGCCGTAACTACCCGACGTTTCAGCCGGATTAAAGAGAACGAGCCGTCGTTGCTTCCCTCGCTATCGCGCCGAATCCCCTTGCTACTTTTTTACGGAAGCGAGCGCTTTTTCTCGTGCCTGTCTCTCACCGACAAGGCGCGCGCGAGAGGGGGTGCAACCCCTCCCCCCGTCGCTACCATCGCTACTCGTGCGTAAGCAGCTTAGTTTTCGATCTTCTATCTCTCTGGATATATCATCGCGGAAAATTCAGAGACGAGAATTTCAACCCTCCTTCGGCGGGCGTGCCCGCGAGTGGATGCCGTGTTATTGAAACACGATCCATTAATATCGTTGCGAGGTATCGATGCGGCTCTCGATTCCAGTCGCGCGACATGGTGGTGCTTGAGGCGGTGGTTCAGAAAATCACGAATAATTCATAACGTTATTTTAATTTTGCTCGCGCCTCGTCGTAGGCGAGAGATCGTAAGGAGAGAGCGAGATGGTTCTCTGCGGCTAAACACCTGAACCTTCGCCGCATTCGCATTAAATATTCAGACGCGACATTAAAAGCGTAATCCACAGCACAACGGGAATAGAAACTTGGTGTTCGGGTGAAATATGGGATCATATGGGGGAGTTGCGAGTAATAATACGTAGATTGCGCAAGGAGGAATGCGTAATACGTCGTACATCACGCGGAATGCGTATGCTTATTTTAGCGATATTGCGTTTATCCGAGATTGAGAGCTCTTTCGTCTTGGATCATCGTCGCGAAATTACTTTTATGGTTATATCCCACATCTGTTATTACGCAACGGCGACGATAGATCGTAACTCTGGACGATACCTCATTCCGAATGTTCACGGAAATATATCGCAAACGAAAAAGTAGCCATGATCTGCGATCTAATTTAAATGTATGTATGTAATTATAATCTCCCGTTTATTTAATATATAAAAGTTTTATTTAATATAATTACAGTACAAAAGATAATATTAACCATGGATGATGAAAGAAATAATAATCTGTAAAATAAAGTGTGATTTATTTGAAAGCGCGCGCGTGTTTTAGCAGCGAGAGAATTTCATTTAATTTTTTTTTTTACTAGAATTATGTTAATATAATTACGATGAAAAATGGATTCTCAAATTGAGAAAGAGTAAAATGAGATATGACTCGTGATCCATTTCGGCTCACCCATTTTCACGTTCTTATTTCAGCGACTTTACGAGTGTGTGTGCGATAACTGTTTCTCTTATATCATTAAAT